CTACAATATTGCACCTATGTTTTGACAGTGGAAGCTCACGATAAAATCCTTAGTAAGGGAACCGTGTAATTAGGTCATACTAAAAGATACAGATAGGGATTACATTACCTATGTTTCAGCAGTGGAAGCTCATGATAAAATCCCTGGTTAGGGAACTGTGTAATTGGGTCAGGTCAGGCAGTGGGAATGTACCACACAATGAAAACTGTGATCCAACTGGATTCGTATTGAATGCCAGTTCCACATAGTAACCTACTTATAGTAAATTTCTTTGACATATTAAGTCAGCAATAAATCCTGCTATTCATACTTTATGTACGGTCTTTCATTTCATTATAAAATATTTATTCTTCAAGTTTTTCTTTCGATTTAAAATGATTTAACGCAACAAATGTAAAAAAGAATTTTTCATTGCGGTATTTCCCAAAATGATGTCGCAATATTTTATTGCAAGATAAAATATCAAATAAAAAATCCTAGTCGTAATTATTCGTTTTTACATTATAAAATTGTGTTTATACAATCAGACAAAACAGATAATATCAATATATGTTAGAAGGTCACGTTTATATGTTTAGGTAAAGCTATACGTTGTTTTAGACGCAGGTCAGGATGTAGAGTAACTATGCTAATTCAACATTACACATACATCCTGTGAATTAATATACGAGCCACCTGTTCTGTTAGGATTGAATATCAGAGACGGAATTGTTTTAAATCTACGTTCAAGCTTGCTATTACATCTGCTCAAATTTATTATAAAAAAAGATAAAAGGCTATTTATGGGGTCATCTCAAAGGACATATCCTAATTTTAAATTTGATAAATCTAATATGCAATTTCGGATACCTTTAATTAAGCAACCAATATACGTATTAGCAGTAGAATATATTTATGGCTTTATTTTTTAAGAAACCACTGATTCGTGTTGAATAAATGGATATTGTTAAGAAGTTATACATATTGTAATATTAAAAATTAATTGAACCTTGCTCCCTAACTTACGATAAATTTAAATTAGTACTATTTCTAACTACGTTGTCTAAAATAGTTACCATTAATGTACAACCGGAAGGGTTGGAGTGCTGTACACAATTATCGTTAATTCAAAACACTTGAATATACAATTTCAATAGCATACTGAAATAGATCAAAGCTTAATTTAGTTATACAGTACACAGTTTGTAAACTGCTGAACGCGTGATTATATTATATGTTCTACGAAATTCCATTATTTTTTTATAAAGCTGGAAAACTATTTCGAATGAACTGAAATATGTATCGACTAGCTTAAAAAAAACTTAACTTAAACTTTAGCCTATGTATTCTTCCAGACTATGTTCTACATCTATGCCAAATTTCGTGTAGATTCATGCAGTCGTTCTAGAGATACCTTCTTACAAACATCCATCCAAACATTCGCATTTATAATATTAGTAAGAATATATAATTAGTTATACGTATATGACGTATACGTATAAAGTCACACATACAACCTTGACATTGCTGTACTCTAGAGAGAAAAAATGCATATTTTATCTAGATTGCTAATTGCATGGTATAATTTAAATATCACCTACATATTTAATTTCACTAATATAAACTGCAATATTTTAATTGGGTATATAATGTTTAGAACAAACTTCATTGTCATGTACGAAAATTTACTTTTCATTTACAAATTGTTTTTATAAAAATATTGGATATAAAAGGAAAAATAATAAGATTATTATAAAAAAAAAATTATGATCCGAAAGATGATCGTAGAGCAATATTTTAGCTATAAATAAAATAATCAAAATTATGATTTAAACATTACATCAAATAACTATGGTATCAATGGAAACTAGTAAAACGTATTAGAGATGTGAAGTTATCCGTATAGTAAGTGAATCTCAAAGATCAATACATTCGACTGAAGCATAAAACCTCTCTAATTAGGTCAAAGCTTGTTGACGCTCTGTGAAGCTCTCGAGTTAGAAAAAAACAAAAGAAAAGCTTGCGTTGCTTCATTTGAGAACTGATAGAGTATCGGTAACCAATTATATCCAAAATGTATTATGGTTTATCGTGATTTCCAGAATTATATAATACAAAAACATTTATATTGTTAAAAGTAATACTTCATACTAATACGAGTACTATAAATGCGAATGTTTGGATTTGTTACAAGGTATCTCCAGAATAGCTGCATGGATCTCGCTGAAATTTGGCATAGATGTAGAACACATAGACTACTATTTTTTTTTTAATTCCGCGCGGACGGAGGCGCGGTTGACAACTAGTGAAATAAAATTATCTTACAGTGTTTTGTACATATTTTTCAACAATATAATTCAAAGGTTGCTGAGGCAATTTGCAAGCATACTATAGTAGTAATACATCTGTTACTCGACTCTACTTTTTCCATCAATTATATAGTAGAGTGGGTACACTTGTTAATTAAACTTTTCATCCGCGACCTATTTTCCCGTTGCCTGGCTTCAAAAATAAAAATTAATTTTTCAAGTCCGCAGGAATACAATGGCTGTATTATCCACAACTTTTCTTTTATTCGAGCGTCGTGACCTCAGGTGAATGGCCTATCTTAAGCTCTTCATTATATTTGGCAACTGACTCTAGTATACCAGCTTTATTATTGACTAGCTATCACCCGCATCTCCGTCCGTGCGGAATAAAAAAACGTAATAAGCAGCCCATATGTTCTTCCAGACTGTGTTCTACGTCTGTGCCAAATTTCATCAAGATCAGCTGAGCTATTCCGGAGATTTAAACAAACATCCATCCATCCATCTAAACTTTCGCATTTATAATATTAGTAAGAAGTAAGGTTAAGTGGTTCCCGCGACTTCATCTGCGAATTTATTGCAGGTTGATTTAATACTACTTGCAACAAATAGGTTAAGTTAGAAAAGAATGGAAATGTAAGACATGAATCTTTTGGTTCGCAATGTAAAACGAAATTGTACTCTCTTAACAAACAATACCAGATTGTTTTTAACGGCGAAGTTTGGAAGCACAAAATTAACTTTCACTTTAAAGTGAACATTTAACAATCGTTTAAGAAAGAAATTTAAAGTGGCCCAGCAAATTTTGGCTATGTGACTTGGAAATGATCGTAAAAAGTTGGGAATACCAAATAAGTGCGCAAAATGTTTTTGTGTTCAAACAATTAAGTAGAAAGCTGTATTGACTGCTGAATGGTACTGTTTCGATTCTCTACATTCATGTACCTATAAAAACACGAAAAAAAACAAAATTAAGCACAATGAAGTACACTATTGTTTTAATAAAAACAAAACACGAACGTCATTTATTAGTTAACATGAAAGAAATGGTTAAATTAACTTATTGTCAATCATTATTAAACTTGAGACATATCTGAGATCAGTACTTAATTCTTTTAATCGGATGAATTGTATTCAAGAGCGATCAAGTAACAATCATAAATAGGGTTGCCGATTGCCAGTAAACAAAGTCCCTAATACTAGAGACAACAACGATGACCCGTCACTTCAACCCTTGACTCTTTGGCACACCACGAAAAAAGAACTACGACACCAAACCCAAAGCCCCAACATGCACCATGCAATCCGGAAAATAATCCCGAAGAGGTGGCAACCCTAATCACAAACTATGCCTTGATAGAACACTTTCTCTGGCCTTAATTTGTTAGAACAATAATGAAGATTGAGCTGTCATGTCTAAAGGAAAGCGAAGGGAGATGAGATGTCAAAACACACTTTAATAAATAGCATGTGTTAATTTATGAATATAATGCTCAGAGATACATACGATAATTTTATGTGTTAATTTTAACTCGATCAGTACAATTTTTTCTTGAATGAAAGTCAAATAGCCTGTTCTGTTTTTTTTATTCAGAAATGACTGTGTAGGCTTGAGGGAGTTACAACTGGAATGAAGAATGTTATTTGGAAGACTAAAATTGTTGTACCGAACCTACATAAAAGTATAGAGGCGATTATTTAATTTTTAAATAATTACGCAGTTTATTCTCTTTGTATATTTTTTTTCGTAGTATAAAATATACAACACAGAAATTGAGATTATGAGCTTAAACATCTGTAAAAATACCCAAAATCAGAGCTTTAACTTTTTTTTTACTTAATAAATATAAAACCATTAAAAATATATTAAACACTTTTATTGACTTTCGATTTACTGTAGGAGTAATAAATGAAGAATAATGTGTGGGAGTTATTTCAAAGAAAATATATTAATCAATGTTCTATGATCGCATATAAAATCAAACCTTTACGACTTGATTTGGCTTAGGATGATCGTAAAATTAGTCTTCCGTCTCAATAGTTTTATTTATTTGCGTTCGCCGTTACATCACCGCCGATGCCGGAGACCGCTTCGACTAAATATCGGTCACGTCTGTAGTCCAAATATATCTTTGTATGTTAGTACATTGAATGCAAGAAATAAAAAAAATTGTTACATTTTAAGGACACAATTTTTTCTAATGGTCTTAGATCGTCCAACTAAAGTTTCATCAGAATCTCTTTAGTCCATTCAGAAACTCAGCGGACACAAACAATAAATATTGATTTTACCACATCATTTACTTTTTTTATATCTAACATTGTCTTCTCGGATTCCCCACTACTTTTATTTAGATCGGCATGGAAGGCAAGATTTATTTCTTTGGTATGGGGGAATTTACAAGCTGATGCAAGACTCCTATATGTGTATGGACGTTACCCTGTATCGTCATTAGCACTAAAACAATAGAATGGGATTTCTTAGGCATATTTATCTCCAGAGAGGTAGTCATTTTCTGTGGCCACTAGATCTATACTATCCACGCGTATTGAGCAGACTATTGTGTTCTGTGCAACACTTCAACCATTATTATATCCTAGTATCGACTTCATTTCGGTGGAGGGGCTAGCGGCGCAGATGGTGGGGGAGACAGGGGATCGCGTCGCGTCGGCGCGGTGTACCCTCCCGCTATGGTACCTTAGTAGCGGTTAGTAGCAGCGGTGAGTGCACGTATTTAGTCAAAACTCGATTAAAATATGCCATTATCTAAATTAAGTATTCTTTGTTTTGAAAGCAGCTTGTATCTCAGAGAAGATATTCTCAATATAAGGGTAGGAGTGCAACAAGTGAATAAAAATCGTCATTTAAAGAGTGAATTTCATGAGTTATACCAAAATTACAGGAGACATCCTGATAAGTTTTATGAGTATACAAGAATGAGCGTAGAAACGTTTGATTATATTCTACGACACCTTGATTCTCGTATAACACAGCAAATCAGATCCAAAAGGGTTGTCACTAATCCAGAAAAATTATTTCTCACTCTGAGGTAAGTAAATCAAATATATGTACATATATTTTTGAAATACGAACTAGTAATAACAATATAAAATATGTTTATTGATTAAAACACACAGAATGGGGTCCGTAAATTGATTAATAGTATAAAATTTGTTTCAGATTCCTTGCACATGGATTATCCTTCAAGTCACTGTCGCATTCATATTATCTCGGTCGAAGTACAGTTGGAAAAATTATTTATCAAACACTACACGTAATATGGATAACTTTAAGGCGTTTTCACATGCCGTGTCTAACTGAAAATGATTTTAAAAAGAAAGCTGATGATTACCTGATGAAATGGCAATTCCCAAACTGTATAGGAGCGATAGGTACAAAGAATTTTCGCATAATGAAGTCGGAAAATATTCGAAGTAAGAATAAGAATTCCAATAAGTATTGTTCATTGGTGCTCCAAGCTATCTCGGATGCTGACTACAAATTTATTGCTGTCGAGATTGTTGGAAAGGAAAGTAAAAGATACCGTAACCCTTTTCATTTTTCTGCAAGTAAATTTAAAAAGTTGCTGGAAAACCAGCAATTTAATGTACCTCCAGGGCAGAAGTTGCCAGGCTGCGATCTTACATTACCGCATGTTTTGTTGGGAAACGCAGGTTATCCACTAAAGACTTATTTATTGCGCCCTTATCCATCTTTGAAAGCGGATAACGGGAAGAAAACCTTCAATGGCAGATTATTACGAGCAAGAGGAACTATTGATTTCGCCTTCGGTATTTTAACTGATAAATGGCGTATTTTTCTTAAATCTCTGGAAACAAATACAAATCATGCAGCACAGATTATAAAAGTCGCATGTCTGTTACATAATATAGTAAGGGACAAAGACGGAGATAATGACAGAGACTTCGTAGAATTTAGTAATCTTTTATCGAATGTCAAAATCGATAAAGTTAAAAAATCAAAGCGGAATAGTCGAGCATCATTTCAAGCAATTGCTGTACGCGAAAGGTACAAAGATTATTTCGTCAATAATCCAATACCACCTTGTCAACAATTATGTTCACATGGTGTGGGTAACTTCATGTGGACATAATTAGACGCAATTACATCTATGTACCATGTTTTTAAATTTGGTTAAAGATTTAAAAAATACTATTACATTCAGGAAAACCAGAATTTCCAAAACACTAAATTGTTTTATTTATAATCCTTGCTTATCTGAAATACGTTGCAAATTATGCGGTATACCAAAGGCTCTGGGTGTAACAATTATGCGTTACTAATAATGTGGCCAATAACTAATTGGATGCACGTGGACTAATGTATGAATTTCAGCAATTTATTACTGCTGTTTTAGTCGCAAAATGTATGCAAGTAAACTAAGTACGATATTCTAAGCATGGCGAATCAATGACACTCGACACAATATTTTGGGCACTACTCACAAAATTTACTATCCACTACGACAAAAAGAGTGAAATAGGTGAGTGAGGAGCGAAGGTGGGTGATGCTTAAACTACAGAATGTTCTTAATAATCACAAAATCTAAATTATTTGCTTTTCTTAAAAAAAAATCGAGGAATGGTAGGTTTACCGTGCTCTATACCAAGTTAAGGTTCTCAATTGGCTAAAAAGAGTAAAGATTGCCGAATGTGCATTTCAAGCTCAAAATAAACAAAACGTTTTTAAAATTTGCTTGTAATTGCATCATATTGATATTTACAGAGTTGACTCGATCGTAAGATATTGTCGATGAAGTCAGCTGGTACGAGGAAAACGATTACTGATACCGAATGAGATTTTACGATGGTTATAGCTTTTAGTGTAAATAAATAGTATAGTTATTTTCATACTCCTGGAATTTTCCTACATCAAAAAACAGACGTTTTGACTGAAATTTTCTAAAGAATGTTTAGATGGTTTGTGTTAAATAAGGGTACTTGCAATTGAACCAAATATAGATCTTTAATAACATATCATGAGCGGCTTATCTTGAACAATGATTTCTCCAGATTTGTTATTACGGATAAGAAAAAAGTTTACAGTCATGCCTTTTTTTGGACGGTTCAAAATGAAATTTAACAATTTACTCCGATTACTCGTTAAAGCAATTGCTAACCTTAGCCCACTCATGTAAGGTCGGCGTCTAAACTAATGCGTAAAAATAAATCAAGCAAACACTGCAAACAAACAATAAATCTTATCATAGCAAGTTGCGTACTTGTCCTTGATTTGCCAGCCCTAGAGAACGCAATTTGTAACCAACATGAAACTTCTACAAAGATGTAAACAACTTCTACCCTGACATTAGGGCTGTCTCCACTTCGGATTAGTTTCGATTTATTCGAATTAGAATACAGCATTCACGTCTACGGGCCAAAGGGTGTGATATGAAACAAACCGCTGCGTGTATTTTCTGACCAAGGGTGAACGTCGTATTTTTTCATCATCGAAAAGTCAAAGCTTGAAGAGCCACTAGTCGTATAATTTCGCAGCTAATGTTATGGTCTGTGTTATTTCAAAGTTGGCAGCCCTAACTGACACGGGCAAAGAAATGTGGCGCCTTCTCTAATGCTAAGAAAACAAGTTTGATTTCTTTATTCACAAACATTTATTTACAGTAAAACCCTTTATTTTTCTTTTTAGGAGAAGAGGGCTACCTAGCTACGGATTACCTAGTACTTAGTGATCTGACCAGTCATATTTTATATGTATAAAACACTTAGTTACTGGTTGGCTTAGAATTTGTAGGATAGCAGTGGATTTAAATTACACAAATAATTATATAATAATTGATTTGTCTTTGTGTCTTTCACTCGACTCTTAAGAAACTATAGGGAATAGATTGTTTTTAAAACGAGCAACTAAAGTTGAATGCTTTACTCAGTAATTAAATATAAAAGAATGTAAGGAAATGAGCAACCAGATCTGTTAATATAAATTTAGTAAATGTCCGAAATAACTGTTACAAAGAATGATGATTCAACGTACCTGCGCCCCACGCAACGCTGAAGTCATGCGAATACTTCGCTATTAGTGTGATTAAATTAAATAGAGCGATTCACACGAAGATGACTTTTGACCTATTCACGGTACGTTATTAATTAAACACATTTATCTATTGTTACATATGAAAAATTGCGCACACCGTAAATGTGGGGTCAAACAAAAACATAGTGTTAATTCAATTTTCACACAAAATATTTGAAGCAATATTTTGGCTTCAAAGTTGCAGCACTTGACACAATGTGATCGCATTTACTAACGATGCTGCAATTTACGTAAGAGCAATAAAGGGTTCGTAGTATTCCGGATTTCTCTCAATTGAGAAATCACCAAGCGGTCAATGCAGCGGGCAATTGTGATATTAAGTTAAAAGGTAACATCCCCCGACACCACTGACACTTACCGACATAAACGCCGGATATAACATGTCACATAAAACATGTCACACTGCATAACTGAAGCGAGGGATTACTTCCACTTAATCATATTGTTAAAAAAAACTCCCACCTCGAGTGGCTGTGGGTTTTTGGTATTAATAACAAAACAGCACTCACAATTTTACTACTAATATAAATGCGAATCTTTAGATGAATGGATGGGTAGATGGATTTTTGTTTGAAGGAAATTAGACATACATATAGAATATAGTCTGGAAGAACACATAGTCTACTAATTAAGTTTTTTAATGCCACGCGAGCTTAGTAGTGGGCGACAGCTAGATATAAAACATCGTTTTGGTCTGACAGTGTACTTCTTCCAAAGTAAAAAAAGTTCGCAGTACTTCCTGTGTCAAAAATGTAATCAACAGATTTCTGAAGGTTCATTGATACAACAGTAAAGTGTTTTGTTACTTGATATTGTACCTAAAGTGTTTATTAAACAATCAGTAAATTTCCTCTATCGAAAGCAGAATATGATTACATATTTCGTATCGGTACGTGAAGTTATACCGCATTGCGCATAAGTAATGGTGCGTTACAAGCACTTTACTATTAAACATACTATCAGATCAACACATAACTACATATATCAAAATTTATAGTTCGTTCGAATATCAATTAAATGAGGATTATCAAAATTAATTATTATGCGTTGTACAATTCCAATAGATACGTCCGCACAGAAAGAAAAAAGCTTTTTAATAGTTTGTTTTTTTCCAGACTGTGGTTTGTGCCACATTTCGTCAAGATCCTTTGAGCCGTTCTGGAGATATCTTCTACACACATGCATCAATGAAAATCAGTGAAAAAAAATCTCTATTCGCTATGTTAGACTATTAATTAATATAATCTGACATATCTGTTCCAAATTCCATCCAAATTAAGCCTCTGATGTTACGTGGTCACAAATTTTATCCATCCAAACTTTCGCATTTCTAAGTAAAATAATATGTACGGTAAGAAATTATAATCTAAGGTTCTAGAGAAATTCACGTTTTAAAATTTCAGAATGCGATCTTGAGCATTCTTGAAAAGGCTACTGTAGCATGCAAGAATAGGCAAAGGCAAATAACTGCAAGCTGAATTGTGCCCGCTAAGGAGGTCGTCTGTACCCGTACAATAGCTCACAAATCCTTTCTCGGTCGACACATTACTGCAGCATTAGTAAAATGTAGAACATTTTTCTCTTACAAAGAAAATATTCTTAATAAAGCAAACAGTGCGATACTTTTACGTAATTTTTTTTGTAGATTAATAAAATTTGTTTAAAGAAATTATTTCTAGGGGTAGGCCTAAGGATGGATTACGTGAAAGGTGGCATGCTTGGGAAGGGCGGGACGACATGAAGGATGAATCGGCAGACTCGACGTAATGTAGGATAAGGTCGGGAAGATGATTGTGCATGAAATTAATCTTATGGTGACAGTTTTTTTTAATATTTAATCCTTAGGGGATGTGGTTGTCACAGAACACAAACAAGGAGTAACTATAATACTATATTTAGATGAAAAAATGGAAAAGTTGAATTTTTCAACCCTATTGGCGCTATTTATACCCTGTAACGAAGCGAACCTACTTTCCCCAGTAAACAGGTTGTCAGTGAAGCCTACATCCGATTAGCGAGATAAAGCCTCGACGGTACTCAGTGCGTACACTTTGCTAGGGTACTATTACTTAGTCCTTTCACTTTGTTCCGCTTATTCGTTGATTACAAAGTTTGTATGTAGCTTCGATATAGATTATTATTTAATGACAATTTTTTTTTTTAAGTAAAAAAGAGATGAACATTATTATTATGGAAAGAATGTGTCGCTAAATAATGGAAAATGTTTAGTTTTCTGTAACATTTTCTTAGTAAGAATAGAGAGGTCAATATCCTTCATATTAAATTCAGCTTAATATTGTGGTAGGCTTTCGCTGATAAAATACTTTCGTCAAATTCCAAGCGTTTTATTGCCTATTTACAAATTCGTTTGCGAATACGAAATATGTTAAATTTCACTTTAATAGAAGACGGAATGGCATGAGCAATTGAAATGTTCAAAAGGCAGTGAAAACCTACTGTTTGTTTGTTGCTATGAACAATATATAGCTATTACGTAAAGTAACATTATTTGTATCTATTAATCGTAATAGTAAATATCTCCACTTATGGTAAAGAGATAAAAATAGTTGAAAACATAATCAACAGGTTTGTAACCTTTAGTAAAGATTGTCGTGTAATGTCAATAACTAAATCTATTATATTTTAATGTCATTTATTTTTTATTATATCTCTATTACAAAATAAAGCCTTTAACCTTAAACCTTAGCCATCATAGTTACTTTAGTGTAAGATCCTATATCTGCTATCAACTTGTTAACAACAAAATAACCATCATTTATCACCTATCGTGTGAATTTGCGCTTCTCAAGTAAGTCCAACGGAAGTCATTAACTTAGGAAAAAAAAATGATAATGGTGAGAAATGTATATACAGAATACATCATGAGATAATTACGTTGATCTCTGACTTATTTCACTGCTAATATACGGTGAAATTCCTAAAATTCTATTTAATATACCTCCCTCTAGTAGTAATGAATACTTTTTTGAATAATTAAAACATATTTTTTTACCACACAGATACAGGAAAAAATACACACAGCACAGATTTATAACAAAAAATTAAAGAAAAGTGTGACAAAAGGAGCCAGGTCAGCGTTGCAAGCACAGCCTAAAAT